CAGCCCCGTCCCTGGACAGCTGCCGGAGCCGATCTTAGCAAGTTCTCCATGAAAGATCTCACTACCCACGAAACTCGGCAGTTTGTGCGGCGGCTCCTGGGACAGGGCACCTCCGAGGAGCGTCCCGAGGTTCCACTGCTCTGGCTTCGTGTCCACTCGCCGGCGGGAGCACGGTGTCCAGCTCCGGCACGGACTCTCTAACAGCAGAGGCCCTTCATTCAGAGGGAGACGGAGCGCCGCCACGTCGCCTGCAGAGGCTGACCAGACGTCGAGCCGGCAGCGAGTGGAGCACCGGGAGGCGACCTCGCCGCGCCGTGGGGCACGGTCCTCGGAGCAGCGCCGCCTCCTTCCCGCCCTCCCCTGCCACGTTCCCAGAGCCCTCCCTGCATCAGGCTCCCAAAGCCGCTGGTGCGGACGGCAGACAGGCAGGTGTGGAGCCGGGGGGGTCCGCGCCCCGTGGCCCCGCATCGCTGCACGCTCTGTGTGTCTCTAGAACGTGCTCCGTCCCATCGCCCCTCGGGGACAAGCCTGGCTCTTCAAGGGGAGTAACAGACGATGCAGAGGGGGGTCGAGAGCCCCTCCCTGCCCCCTCCCCCACGCTGAAAATGTATCAACCACACGGGTGACACTGGGATTCACTCTTCAGTTTCTCTAACACGATAAGGTAGAACTTTATTAATTTTACTTATTATCTACATTCTCTCTTACTCCAGGAAGAATTTAAGACGGCTAACACTCATAGCCTGAAATATAATGAAATGAGACATGCTGAAAAAAATGGTTAGAACACCACAATTTGGTAAAAGCATCCCCAACGGTTCAGTCCGCTTCCCCAAGCATCTGGCTGTCGGCAGAACGGACGCCATCCCAGGAGAGACTTCGCCTGAGCCATGTCACTGGTCGCGTCTCAGAGCAGCAAGTGCCACCCACTCCAGTGCGACACGGAGCAGAGAGAGGGCCGTGAGTTACGATCTGGTCTAACAGGAAGAAGAGGAGCTACCGACTCGCGAGCTTAGGGCCGCCAGGAGCATCGGGGGCCCCTGCCATCAGCCCACATCACGCACATGGAGACGAGGCCCAACGGACACGGCGCGCCCAAAGGGACGGCGTGCAGGAGCTACAGAGCTGAAGGCAGAGCCCCGGCCACCGCGTCCTCCACGTCGTGACACGCTGGCCGCAGCGGCACACCGAGGGGGGAGGGGAGGGGGAGGTGCCCCGCAGGCGAGGACGTGCACCGTGGAGCACAGGCCGTTCCCACGCACCACGCAGCAAGGACTGCGTGGACGTGAGCGGCGGACTCACCCTGACGAAGGCACGTTTGCAGTCCCGGCAGCTGGAACAACGGCCCAGCCACGGAGGCGAGCGCACGCGGCGCCTTCCGCCCGCTCAGCTGGGAGGCCGTTCCGCGCCACGCAGCGAGGAGTGAGTGAGCCTGGGCGCACTGTCCCCACTCATCGGCAACAGCCCTACCGTCTAGGCCACCATGGGAAATAACTGGGTGCTCAGAATGAGCCCAGCTTCCTGTTCCCGGGCAGACACGCGGTGCGCCTGCTGCGTGCCGGACGCTGTCCTTGGTGCTGAAGGTGCAGCCCAGCCCTGACAAGGCCCCTGGGGAGGAAGCTGGGTCTACAAAGACACAGGAGCACAAACATGGAGTGTCAGACGGTGACAACTGCTATTACGAAAGATAAAACTGGGTCAAATGACAGAAGGGCGTGGCTGGGGCGGAGCAGTGATTATTCCAGAAGGGATGGCTAAGGAGGAGCTCTCTGCAGAGGGACACTGGGCCAGAATGCCCACAGCTCCTTAACTGACGCAGCTAAGCCCTGCGGGTCAGGAGGACGCCCCTCCAGGCTCAGCGTGGGGCCTGCGTCCCCAGTGCAGGGCTGGGACGCCTGGCCGAGACGGCACCACCCCCGCACCGCCTTATTCTCATCACGTACTCTAACAAACAGGGTGCACACCATGCCTCCACGGAGACTCTGACACGGAGCCACCGTCACACTGTGTGTGACACGTGAGCTCCCTTTCAGGAATGGGATACGATCTCGAGAAACAGGTGAGTTTCCACTGACCCTATAGCCACGTCAGGGCAAGAGAGCACAGGGGAGCAGGCTTGGTGCTCCCCAGGCCAGCACCCCGAGGCACGCCGCCACAAAGCCTTCCATAATCTCCTTCCTTCGCCTCTGCAGCTACACGGCGGGAGCTAGGGTGATGGAGGGCTGGCCCGCTGTGTGCTGCCCGACCCTGCCTGCTGACATGGACATGTGGGGCTTCCACAGCAGGCTCCAGGCTGCTCCAGACCACGCAGCAGCTGAGTGGCCCTGAGGACTGGAGCCCCCGCCTCTGCCCACAGCATCGAGCATGGCGCAGTGGGAAGCATGGCATCCGGACACTCCCTCATGTCCCGCAGTGGGCCGATGTCCGGGTGCATGAGTGAGTAAGACGGGACCCTCGCACCCCGCCAGTGGCCCGTCAGCACATGCCGCTCTGCGGAGGCGTGCAGAGCTGGCCGCATGCCTCAGCAACCGCAGCCCGGAGAACGGAACGCTCATTTCCATGTGAAAACCTGCACGCGCGTGTTCAGAGCCGCTTTACCCACGACAACCAAACACCGGAGGCCCCGACGTCCTCCACCAGGTGAAGGTCACACACACTGACGTCCGTCCTACCGCAGCCTCTCCTCAGAATGAAAACGAAAAAGCCACTGGACACACAACTAGGACGAGCCTGCGGGGAATGACAGCGAGTGAAATGCCACTGTCTGAGGTTGTGCTCCACAGCAGGGTCCCCAAGCCCCGGGCCGCAGACCGGTCCTGGCCTGTGAGGACCCGGGCCACACAGCAGGAAGTGAGCGAAGCTCCGTCTGCATTCACAGCCGCTCCCCAGCGCCATCACCGCCCTGGCTCCGCCTCAGAGCATCAGGCATTAGAGTTGCACGGGAGCCCCGGTCCCCGGTGCCACAAAGGGCGGGGACCGCTGCTGTGCAGGACTCCACTTCCAGAACATTCTGGAAATGACGAGTCCGCGGGGTGGAACACAGACTCGCCATCGCGGGGCCTAAGCTGGGGTGTGAGGAGGTACCGCGAGGGGCCTGGTCTGTGTCCTGACGTGTGCGACGCGCTGGCACCGAGCTCCACGCGCACACACGCGTGCGTGCGGAATGCGGGCCCTGGACAAGCGCAGGGACGCACTGACGCCGAGGCCCAGCGGTGATGCCGCACGGCAGTGAGGGCCAAGTGAGGCACGTGGGATCTCCCGTCATCTGACAACTGCGTGTGGGTCACCAGTCTCCGCCAGGTCAAAAGGTCGGGAAGCGCACAACCACGCCATAGAGCCTCTGAACAACACCCAAAGCCGGAATGAGGGCTCCAGGTGAGCTGCAGGACAGCGTCTGGTGTGCGTGCTCGGGCGTCGATGGCGTCCTAACAAGCCCCCTTCACAGGTGTGTGCCGCAGGTGTGTGACCCAGGCTCACCGCTTCGCCCTGACCCTTGCTTCCCAGTGACACACACATGGACAGGCTTTTCTGGTGGCACACTGGTCGGAGCATCTGCACCTCGGTGGGGAGCTGGGAAAGCAGACCGGTGCTCCTCCCGGGGCCCCCCGTCCTCGGCAGACGGGTTCCATCCTCTGAGCTCGCCCCACCTCTGCACTGCCAGAGGCCTGGATGCCACCTGAGTGACTGCTGCCTGCACGGTGTCGTACTCACCTGCTGCCCCAGGGCCCGGGGACCTCCTGGAGCACGCGCGCGTGTGTACACACACTCTCACACTCACACACACGCACACGCCCGTGTCTGCTGGGGAACAGCGCTTACTGCTAAAACGTGAGGTCCCTCATGGTGCAGTCGTTTACAGACGCGCTCTGCACGCAGCAGCCGAGGCAACTCCTCCAGAGGCTGTAGGTCCCGTCCCTGCATCCCTCACGCTGCAGGACAGGGTGTGACATCTCTGTGAGAAGGGCCGGCCACCGGCCTGGCAGCAGCCTGAGAACACACTGCTGTAACCGCACTGGCCTACAGCCCTGCTCCAGCCCCACCGGATCAGTCCCAGCTATAAATGTCACCTCCTAAGCGAATCCCTGTGCAATTCCGCTAGTGAAAATTAATTACTCCTTCCTCGGGGGCCCAGGGCACAGTCGCAATGACTTCCGAGCAGGTCGCAGTCTGCCTCGTGTCTCCAGCCAATGTCTACAGCGACACCCCGAGGCGGGACCCCCGAGGCCAGGTCCCTTCACCTGCCTTGGCCTCCCTGGAGCGCGTGCGCAGCAGGTGCGCAGGTAAAGATGTTGGGTGAAATTTGTTAAATTGGTAGAACTGGCTAAAAGAGAATGGAGTCTGCTGAGAAGGCGGCTCTCACACACGTGCACGGACACACACGCACACGCACGCACACGCGAGAGTTACCACATCAAGACAGCGATTACCGCGGCAACACAGACACCCAGAGCAACCGCGCTCCACGGCCCGTCCAGAAAGCGCCGCCCTCGCGTCTGCCGAGGCTCCGGTGCCCTGACACGGGTGAGGGTCCTGAGGGTCCCCAGGACCGCGTGGGCACGGCAAGCCCGCCATCACAACACACGGCAGCAAAGGCCAGGGAGCCGCAAGGCACGGTCCCCGGACCGCACGTGACACGTGGGGACGACACCGCGGAGGGCTCGCGGCTCAGCAGGACAGACGCACGGCACATCCACGTTTAGCCCACAGAAGAACGGGAAGGAACAAGTAAATTAACGCGCGTCCACAACTTAAAGCAGCGGGGCTGGCGGATGCCATGCACCAGGGATGCGGGCGGCAGCAGGAGGGGGGGCGGGGGCGGGGGCGC